TAGGACTTTACCCAGCACTATAGTTACAAGGGCACATTGCTGAGATTAGCCCTTTGTTGTTGTGTTGTTATCTGTCTCCCCCAAATCCACTTTGAGGTGGTGCAGCCATCACAACTAGGCGCATCCATTACAACCACCACTGGCTGTTACCATGTGAGTAGGGTTACAGGAAATAAAGGGGAGGAAGGGGAGAAGGTGGAACACACTAGGACAAACTAGGTCAACAAAGTCTACCATCTTTGACACCCTTGACTTTAAGAATCCTAAAGTGGAATATGTGGATGTACTTAATGCATGAGTGACATCAAACCACGTTTACTTACTTTTTCCAAATACTGAGTCCTAAAAGCTGAGAAAAATGGCTCGCAACATTCATAAAAATGATTTGACCTGAATGGAATACGTACTGCTGATGGTATAAGGAAAAGAGATGGCAATAAGCAGCAAGGTGAAAGCCATGAAGCGCACAGCCACATTAGCATGCTGAACTTTTCAAACGGTGACAAAATTATTCCTTCAGTGCCTGTTTCTTCAACGCAATATCAGATAGAATTCCTTCACAGGCTTTAATGAACCATGAAATCAAGTTAGCCTTCTGTGAGACTAAAGGTACTGTATGTTATAGTATAGCTTAATGCAAAATACACGTGTTAGGAATATATTTCATTCCAAAAAATGAAGAATTATACCTGCCTTTCCACATGTGCAGGCTGACTTTTTTTGAAGTGTTGTCTTTAATTTCATCATTGTGTATTATCCTTGGGAAATAGCTTTCATTTCATTTCACCTGTGATTAATTTAGGCTCCCAAATTGTAGTACCTTTGTGAAAGATATCTTGGGGCCTATTCTGCTGGTAGAAAGAACTGGAAAATTAATTCAACCTGTGATGGCTTAAGCTGTTCCATTAACAAATAAGTGAACAAAAGAATAATTTCTGAAAATAATAGTTATGCACCTAGTGTGATCGTTGTGGACATTTCTTAGTATTTATTCTGGAATCTGTAATACTAATGGATGACTGGAATGGTCCCATTTACAAAATAACAGCCAAATAAAAAGAGTTCAGTTCAAAGCTGTGCAGTCCAGTAAATTATCACCTATGTACTTGCAGGGGAACAGCTGAAAGTAGTCATTAAAGTTAGGCAGCGTCCCCAGTGAGCAGTTTTCACAAGTCTTTTTTCCAGAGGTTCTGGCTTCAGTTTGCAAGTGTTCCTGGCTTTTCTGACCCAGAGAGAACTCAGGAAAACTTCCTGACAGGCTGAAGCAGGATAATCCTTATCCAGAGCAGGTTGTAGCTTGCTTTGATTCCATCAGATGCTGATGGAATATATAGGCTCAGAAAGGAATTAGGCAAATTCCTGGGCAGTGGATCTATAAACAGCCACTAACAGGAATGGGCAGAAATATGCCCTCTAGCATGCTTAGCACCCTGAAATGATGATGGGGGAGTGCAAAAACAACCAACCACAGGTAGCAGCAAAACTCAGCTCTTGTCTCTAAATACTGGCTCCCATTGCTCCTGTCAGGTGAGATGGGCTGTGTTCATAGCAGTATCAATTTCTGTTGCTATTTCCAAAGTAAGCGCTGAGAATGGGAAAGAGCTGGGACAGAGAGCCAAGGGAAGAGCCTTGGATAGTCACCACTGTTGCTCCTTTGTTTCCAGAAGTTATAAAAGGTGCATAAGAGTAATTGCTGGAGCGGAGAGCAACCTCCTCCCTTTCAGCAGAAGCAACACATTTGCAGTCATCCTTCAGTAGCCATGGGAGTCAGCCAGGCTTTGCAGATCCTTCTTGCAAGAAGTGCTGTCTTTTACTGAAGGAAGAATGAAGAGATTGGAGGAAGTTTCTATGGGGAGGCGATGGTGAATGAAAGAGAGGCATTTAGCTTCTCCAGGTAGTTTACAAATATGAAATACATCATCAGCCCTCTGATGGCTCTATTGTGAATGGAGTTTCCTGAATGCAGGGTGGCATGGAGAATCGGCCCACTTTATTCAGCTCCCTAATCTGAGTTCTCATGGTATTGTGGCTTCACATATTTGTGCTGAACAGTTTTGAAATAACAGCCCTAAAAGGGTGAAAGTAATGCCATTTTAATTAGTTGCATTTAAAAAGAATAAAGCCAGTTGGTTTTATTAAGTCGGTAGAATATAAAGTGTGCTTTTTAAAGTTAGACATTTTGAGACTGTTCACCTACATTAGAAATAAATATATTATTGACTGTTAAGAGTTCTGTTCATGCTACGTTAACTTTGGCTGGGTATGTTTTTACATTAAATGAAATGGTTCACACAAAGATACATTTAGGAGATGAAAAAGGAATCACTTTTTTATGACGCTCAGAGATCTGTGAGACTACAAAATAATTCCCATAGTCCTTTCTCCTGAAAGTTCTATAGGGGCGGAGCAGTTCTTGATAGAAAACACTTATGACCAGGTTCTTTACATACTTTGACTGAATAACTGCAAATGTAATCGGCTAATATTGCACATCGACTCAAAACCTTGTATTTTGCATTAATTTTAACCGAAGTCCAGCACTGCAAAGCCATTGCAACCACTGTTAACTGTAATGAATGTAAATTGTTAGAGGCATTTTTGTGTGTGTGAGGGAGACCCAAATCACTAAAAATATGGATTGAATCTGATGTTCTGGCCATACTTGTATGCCCACATGCTTCATTAAAATAAGCTCAGCCTTCTGCCCTTAGAAGACTGTTGTCACACCATAGCTATTAACTTAGTCTGTAAGCTTAATGAACCTCCTAAAAGCTGGATATCTGTTGTCCATTTTCCTGGTACCCACATCTTAGTTGGATACCATCATTGCTTTTCTGCTAAGTGACTGAGTAATAAACACACAACAGCTTGCAAGTAGCTTCTTTTCAAGAAGGGACATGGAAAGGCATCCTGGTCATAACTCAGTATATATAAACTTCTTGCAGCAGCCCTCAAAGGAGAGATGGGTTTTGCACAAAAAAGCACTTCTGCATCAAGACTTGATTCTAATCAAAATCCCAAGGGAGGCAGAAATTTTCTCTCCTGTTACTTCTTCTTATGATGCTGTTTGTCCACAGAAGCTTGGGGAAAAACAGTCAGTCAATGACAACAACAAAAAAAAGCTACCTCATGACTCAAAATTTGATTCTATAAAGAAAGGTAACTTCAAAATGAGAAGAATTATACAGTAGGAGCTTCAGATATCATTAATGCTGTAGTTGGATCCTGTATCTGTCATTCATTCACTGTAGAATTTACCCTTTACATGCTTATTAAATAATCTTTAAGAAGCCAGGGCTATGTATTCTCATACCAGATAAATTGTACTGCAGGTTGGCGGTGCTGCTGCAGCATTCACATGGTACACTCTTCTGACTTGCAGTACTTAGTTCCATGATAATCAGAAGCTAAAATGACCAGTTTAGGGTCCAGAATCAAGTCTCATACTATTACCATACCCACTGCATTAGCGCTACAGCTGAATATCATACTGTGCAGCATAGGAGCAGTTTGTAAAACCTTTAGCCACCACAAATTTTTCACACTGTTGTATTTTCAATAGTGTCATTTTATATGATGTTTAACAACTCAGAAGCATTGAACAACGCAAGTGTTTTCAGAGAGCTGTCCCCTTTTGAGGTTTGGTGGCTTTTAACATGTGTCTCCATCTCTGGAATTTACTTTGGAGTTCTGTGTGAGTTACTTTCAACATATGCCTGGGTTAAATAGATATATGGTCTAGATGATGAAATCTTATAATGAAATGGCTATTTTTAGGATTATGGATGTCATTTTTTGGAGATGTGCGAGATGATCAGAAGATAATGAAAAGTAGAATAGCTATTATGTAAGGTTTTACTCATAAAATTTATTATATTCCATGCAAATAGCTTCATTTGATTTAATGAGGAAACACTGGCAGCGGAAACACTGGCAGCAATTACATGAGGGGAAAAAGGCATTTTAAAGAAACATGTTTATAGGTTGAGTTCAATCACGTTTTCTAAATGTGAAAAATCATTGAGATAAGTACATTGAGATTGATTGAGTTATTCACTTGGGTTTGAAGTTAAGCTCAGACTTAAGTGTCTTGCTTCGACTGGAGGAATAAAAAGAAACTTTCCAGTCAGGGTGATTTTCCAAATTAGAACTAGGGGGGATTTGTTTGTTTATTTCCACATAAGAGGCTTGGTTAGTCCAAAAGCATTAGAAATAAACTTGGGCCGGTATATGAAAATAACTAAGATACAGACCCAGTGCCAAGAAATATGATTATATCAAAGTTCAGATCACCTTTGCTCAAGTATTAAATTGTATCTATCTACCAATCTATGTATCTCTCTCTATATATATGAATACACATGCACACACATTTTTTTTTTTTGAAAGGGTTAATATGCTTTTGGAGTATGGTAATCATAGAATCATAGACTGGTTAGGGTTGGAAAGGACCTTAAGATATCTCTTCATGCATTCCTTTGCACCAGCTGGAGAGAGCGTGATGAACATGTTTGTTTTACAGTGAAGAGAGATTAATTTTCAATTAAAAGCTGTTACTAAAAAAGAGAGAGAGAAAAAAAGAAAATGAATGCACCTTTCTGTGCAGCATTTTTGGTCTGCTATTGAATAATCCATCTGATAGCTTACTGTATGAATTTGAAAGTAATTGAAAAGAATTATGGAAACCTGCCCACATATTTTCATTATCTAAACTGAGAACAATTAAAAAGCTAAACAAAGAGCATACAAGATAAAAAATACTTCATTAATTTCAATCCTTATAAATTGCATGAATACAGAATGGAGAATGTGTTTTGTTTACCTGGGTAGGTCCTTTGAATTGCTCAGTATCAATGACTGCGTTTGTTTGCCAGGAGTGCGGTAGGGCTGTCCAGTTACGTGCTGTTAACATCTGCATATTAAACATCTGAGCCCAAATAGCGCATTGTGGAGCTCTACCTCATTGATGCATCGTAACTTTGCATTTTCATTCCTTGCAGAAGGGAATCCATACACCTGGTGGGTTGGCAAAGCCAATGAGAAGCACTACTACTGGGGCGGATCAGGACCTGGCATTCAAAAATGTGCCTGTGGCATTGAACGCAACTGTACAGATCCCAAGTACTACTGCAACTGTGATGCTGACTATAAGCAATGGTGAGTGGCTTACCATTCTCACCAAGGGTGAGAATGACCAGAATCTCTTTTAACTTTAGAACACTGCCATTATTTTGAATGTCTTTTGTTTACATATTTCCTCTCTTGACAAAGAACAAGGGCAAAATGTGATCCCTCCTGCAATGTATCATTTCAGTTTTATTCACAGTACCTGTGACTGTCAAATATAAGGAACATATTTATATTTTCAAGTCAACTGAGCTGTAGAAAAGAATGCTACAATTGGAAAGTCAAGTCCCAGTAGGAAAGGTCAGCGTTTTGGCTACCCATGCAACTTTGTTTCCATCATTGAATCAGAATGGTTTGGGTTGGAAGGGACCTTAAAGCTCATATAGTTCCAACCCCCTGCCACAGGCAGGAACACCTTCCACTAGAGCAGGTTGCTCCAAGCCCCGTCCAACCTGGTCTTGAACACTGCCAGGGATGGGGCAGCCACAGCTACTCTGGGCACCCTGTGCCAGCGCCTCAACACCCTCATAGTAGGCATTTTTTTCCTAACATCTATTCTAAATCTACTTAGGCTTAGAGAGTATTATGGAATTAGGCTCTGTATTCCAGAGAAAGCTACTGCACTTTGGATGAGATAGTTAAATATTCATTGGCCTGTTGGTTGAGAATATAGCCCTTTTGGGATGAGACAGAATTGGTTCTGGTTTCTTCTCTAATAGTTATTGATTCATCCCAGGTAGAACAATTTTAACAGAGGGACTGAGGAAGCCCTGTCTGAGAGTATTTTACGGCCTGGTAACAGAGGCAGTCTGCTGTGAGGTTAATTGATGGGTGTTTAAACCCATTCAGGCAGAAAAGAGAATTAAAGCTGCATCTCTGATATTCCTCATAACAATGAACCTACTGTGTAAAGCTTGTCACCATTTTGTGTAAGACCCTGTCTGTTCTCTTAAAACGCTTCCTGTATAAGCTTTAACTGTTTGTGTCTCTTTTGTCATGAGGGGCAGCATCGTATTTTACAGGGTATGCAATGTTCAGTGGCCACCTGGAACCATACTGTGTGAACTCTTTGCCCGTTAATAGCAACCTGTTAGTAATTGAATCAATACTGGTTCATTTTGTATTAATTGAGAAATTCATACACCTATTAATATAGAGCTATAGTACTTTAATAGTATGCAAGAGATTTAAAAGGAAAACCAAAAAGTGTAGGGAATGACAGAACAGGTTGGAAGGGACCTCAGAGTTCATCTAGTCCAAAGCACCTGCTCAAGGAGGTCCACCTATACACAGTTGCCCAGGACCAGGTCTATACAGCTCTAGAATATCTCCAAGGATGGAGACTCTGCAGCTACCCTGGGCAACCTGTGACAGTGCTTGGTCACCCCCATAGTAAAGAAGTATTTCTTGGGGTTCAGAAAAAAAACTCCTGTGTTTGAGTTTGTGCCCCTTGTCTCTGGTGCTGGGCACCACTGAAAAGAACGTGGCTGTCCTCTTTGCACCCTCCCTTCAGGTATGTAGAGACGTTGATGAGATCCCCCTGAGCCTTCTCTTCTCCAGGCTGAATAGTCCCAGCTCTCTCAGCCTTTCGTCATAGGAGAGCTGTTCATTGGGCTCTAGTAATTTCATTTCTCTCTTGTACTGGTGGGCTCAGAACTGGCCACAGTACTGCAGTGTGGCCTTACCAGTGCTGAGCAGAAGGACAGGATCTCCTCCCTCAAACCACTGACAGCACTTTGCCTAAGGCAGCCCAGGATACCATTGGCCTTCTTGGCCACAAGGGCACATTGCTGGCTCATGTTCAACCTGGCATCCAGCAGGACTCCCAGGACCTTTTCTTCCAACTTGCTTCCCAGCCTCAAGCATGTTCTGAAGCAGGGGGTTGTTTTTCCCCATCTGCAAGACTTCACACTGCTCTCTGTTGAACTTCATGATACTTCTGTAAGCCCATTTCTCCATCTTGTCAAGGTCCCTCTGCATGGCAGCACAACCCTCTGGCATATCAGCCACTTCTCCCAGTTCAATGTCATCCACAAGAATGAAGTATGAAAAATACAGAATTATAGCAATAAGGGAAATCTTCCAGGCCCTGCAAAAGTGATAGATTAGGATATGGGAAATCAAACATTGCTATAGGCATTGCCATGCTAAGCTCCGACATAGTGAGGAAATGCTGTTAGCTACAATCCGGGCAAATTATAGTACAACACAGAAATAGGGAAGTCAGTATTATACACAGAGGAATCAGACACGGTGACACACTTCAGAGCTAGAATTATATAGTGAAGAATATAGAGGGCCTACAGGGGTGCTGGAGAGGGCATTTGGCATCAGGGACTGGAGTGATGGGACAGGGGGTAATGGGTTTAAACTTAAACAGGGGAAGTTCAGGTTAGACATAAGGCAGAAGTTCTTTAATGTGAGGGTAGTGAGGCACTGGCACAGGTTGCCCAGAGAAGTGGTGAATGCCTCATCCCTGGCAGTGTTAAAGGCCAGGCTGGACAGAGCCTTGGATAGCATGGGCTAGAGTGAAGTGTCCCTGCTCATTGCAGCGGGTTCGAATGAGATGATCTTATGGGCCCTTCCAACCCTAACCAAACTGTGATACTATGACTGACTCAATAGTGTGTGGCAGGAGGGAGGTAGGTTTGGTTCTCTGCCAAATTGGTAACAGTAAAAGGAAGGCACTGTAATAATAATTAAGATAATGGCAGAATTAGGAGTACTTACGGTTTTCATTGCTTGAGGCACTGGATGTATATCCATGAATAATAGTCTCTATACCATATGTTGACTCTTTTCTTTTAAGTTGAGGGCAATACATAAGGGAAATATCACTGACTTTTGATCTCTTCTTGTGCCTACTCTAAGAGTCACAGATGATAATCTAATAAGCAACATTCACTCAATATTACTTTTCTGTAATCTCTACTCTCCTTAATATGTACGGAGATTATATGGAATCTATCAATAAATACAATAATATAATTACTAGATTTTTTTACTATCTAAAATAAGATGGCTGTCACAATATATACATAGTTTTTACTCAGAACATCAAACGAGAAGACATTTATACAGTGTTTCTCTGAATAGATATCAGGGTTTGGTTTTTTTTTGCTGGAAACTTCTATGTATTACATGACAATATATGACAAATAGTTATACAACTGGATATTATATTTTAATCTGTGGTGTTTGTAAAGGAGATTTTGTTGAAGATTCATTTTTGCAGTATCTAGCCTATTCCAAAGCCATCCCTTTTGGGTTTTGGATTTATTTTTACGGAGACAGAGTGGGGAGAAGGCAGTAGCTAGAGCAACTACTACATTACAAAAAGTAAAGAAGTAAAACAGGAAAAGAAGTTTGCTGAGGGGAATTGTGGGAATGAAAAGTGAAGAAGAAGGGAGAGATTCAGTGCGGAGATTCAGATTTTGAAGTGCAAGGCACTCAGTTTAAAGGAGATTGGGGAGCCGCTGAAGAGTGGGTCAGGCAGAATCAAAGTGATGCACTGTGAGTAGAATATAGTTCACAATTTTTATTGTAGAAGTCAGAAATTGTGTTAGAAATGAAGAAAGGAAATGCAGTTTGATGAATGAGCTCATAGTGAAGGCAGGAGAATGCTGCCCTGGAGAAGTGGATTCTAACTTTGCCTCTGGAACCACATTCCTGTGTGATGCTTGCCAAGTTTCATAAGCCATTTCTTCACAGAGCAGTCATGAGTTTTATCTTAATTTTCTGGGTACCTAAGTGGAAACCCAGAGGTCCAGTTTGTGGAAACACCAAAAGTTCACAGCTGACCTGGAATAAGTGATCACTCTGTCTAAAACAGAACCTGATTCTCAAGAGAAGCCCGTGTTGTTGCTGCAATGTAAATATAAAGTAATCCTTTTTGTCATGATAAAGAAACAGAAACACATGTGGGAAGAGCTTCACCCAGAGCAATCCTGCCAAAATGAACCTTAGTCCCAAATTATCCATGATTTATGTCCAAAATCAAAGTTAATTTACAAGTGAATCAGATTATTTAAAAAAGATTACTTTTGCTTGCTAAGAAAGATCATTTATTAAAGATGATGTTGGTGACATTCAAAGTCAGATTGCGTCAGCTTTGAGAGAATGAGCTGTATTGAGGCTGCTGATATTATTAGCAAGAAATTCTCTGGGTTGCTGTTAAAGAAAACCTTTAAATGAGCAATTTTAGGTAAAATATAAGGCTTTCAAAAAAACCAAACAAAAAACAACCCAAAACAAACCCCAAATCAAACACTGCCTCATTTGAATAAAAGTATTATTACCATTTCTGCAGTTCCTTAACAAAGGGCTGGCATTGTAGAGATAGACAAACTGTACCAGTTAAGTAGTAAATGTAGAGATCTGCAAAGAAATGTTGATTCTACTCTCGTTTGACCCTAAGGTCAGTTAAACACCCAGATTGGCCAAAGTTTCTGCACCACAAGCTCCTTCCTTTTTCTTACATAACAGCCGCAGTACGTGAGAAGACATTATGTGGTGCTTGGATTTACTTGGCATAAGATGCCCCAAAAGTTTCTTATGCCAGAAGTTTCTTATGCCAAAAGACGGCATCAGAAACTCTTTCCTTTAGCACTGCATTGTGAAGTTGCGCTTCAGGTTACAAAGTAGAGCATGGGCTTCACTGCTGACTGTTGATGTGACTTGTAATCTTTCAAGAACTATTTGGTAGCCCTAAGGATGATCAGAAGGGGTTAAGGTGAATTTTGAAGATTAACAGTGGTTTGGACACTTACAGGAAATGAGCAGTAAAAACAGAAGGAGGGAGCTTCATTTTGTTGTTTGTCCTCATTTGCCACTGTTTGGAAATCAACATTTCTTTCTCCAGAGCCTGCAAAAGTACTTTATTTGTGTGAGGTGTTTGCCAGAACACTGCAGGATACATCACCCCTTCACAACTCGTCTCCTACAATGGGGATTTCAGAAGAAAGTTTCAGGTCATGGGAAAAGACAGTGGAACGGGGCTCAGATTGACATGAGTTGTTTGAGTGACAAGA